CTGAAGTGCATTGAAAATATGACTTCTTAGTACTTTAGTATTTGAAATTTGTCAGATAATACTAACTCCCCTTAAGCCCATCTTATTTTTTGTACATGAACATAGTGGCATATACAATATTTATATATGTTATGGTTTGCTTAACCTTGAAATGACAATTTTTGTAATGGTATTTTCTATATATCCCATAGATTCCTTATTTAAAATGCACATTTACCCATGTTTGTGCAATCCTCTTTGTCTGCCTTGATTTTTTTGTTATCTGAAGAATTTTTCAATTTAGACATTTTCAGCTTAAAAACAACATCCTCATTACTTATTATTAGTGCTCTATTTATCACACTAAAAAACAGACCCGGATGTTTGTTTTGTTCTGTGGCGGAGCCCGGGTGATGCAGCTGCAGACCCTGCTACTGTGTGACTGACTGCGGAATTACAGATTCCTGACCTGTGGTGTATTTAGAAAAAGCAGCAAAATGCAATTACTCTGATAGTAACAGGGATGGAAGTTACTATTGGCCTGGAGCTAAGCCGCTCACTGTAAGCATCTCGCCTGAATAATTGACAGCCACAGGGGCTCATTTCTGTTCCTGAAGAGTCCTCATTGCTGCCACCACCAGCTGCGAGGCCCATTCTTCAGGGGGTGCTACCCTGCCCCGCGAGGGGCCGTCTCATCAGCGTCATGTGACAGTGCCTCTCTCGGAGCTGAGCTGCCTGGCTCCCTCTTCTCTTAGTTATGAGAGCCTCACGCATAGGGGAGCAGGCACATGAGTCCACCAGCTAGAACCTTGGGCGAGGAGTGGGACCCCGGACCACCCTTTGCGAAGACCTATCTTGAGGGCTTGCTGTAAGGGTCGGCAGTTACAGAAGTTCCAGAAGCTCTGGTGTCTCACTGGTTTGAGGGCATGTGTCACTCAGTGCTCCCAGCCTGCACTTGGGATGTTGTTTCCAATCGCAGGTGACTCCTCTCCCCCTCCCTGCTCCTCCCCTTGACCTTGCCCATCACTTCTGCTCCATAGTTAATACCCAGAGGTTCTCTTTATGGAAACGGTGCCCCCAGGGTTTCCACATCTCTGCCAGGTTATGCCTTTGTCTTGTATCTGAGCACTTAAAACACATTTAGACACAGTAGGTTTTATCTGTTACTTTTTTATTTTTATTTCTTATGTTCATTGTAGAAATACATGAAAATACAGAAAGGGAAAAAACACTAGAAGGAAACCTCAGTGTTTATCAGTCCAGAACTTTTTACCTGCTAGACTATGTATATATTTATACTAAGCACATTTCTGGGTAACCTGCTAATTGCTAACTGGATGTAATGGAACCTCTCGATTTATCGTAAAAAGTATTTACATCAACCTTCTTAGTGTCTGCAGATCATTTCATTGAGCTAATCTCATGATCTTGGGCAGTTAGACTCTAATGACTTAATATTATTTAAAAAATAACCCACTGCCTTGAATATCCTTGTGCATATATCTTGGTGCATCTGCCCAATTACTTTTTTAGGATAATATCCTAGATCTGACTGCTGGACCCCAGGGCATGCACATTTTTAGAGATTTGATGATATACTGATGAACTTCCACCCAGAAATGTGGCCCTTTCACCTAAGCCCTTTGCTGACATGCGAGTGGCCAGGGCCCTGGTCACACCCGGCGTGTGAGTGGGAAGGGTTTCAGGCAGAGCTGTGGGAGCTTGTGCAGGCGACACGGGGAAGAGGACACGCTGGCCGAGCTGCTCACACACGAGACAGCTCCGCACGGTGGTTGGGACACTCACACTTGTGACAAGGGTGGAGGCTGGACATGCACCTGACTATTGTTCTGATCAAATAGACCTGCGGCTAAAGGAACACTGACAGACATTATTTAGAAGCCCACGTGGCTGTCACTTCTCAAACGAGGTTAAGTAAGAGAGGCTGCGCGGGTTAATTAAAAGGTAGCAGCGTGCGGTTGGACACAGCGCCTGGGTAATTGTTCCTGCCACGGCGACAAGTGTGCAGTGCATATTGCAAAGGTCGGAACAAAACAAAACTTGTTTGACAAAGATGAGACATTTTGTCTAAAGCTCACGTGTGTTCTCGAATCCCCATATTGGGTGTTTTTAAGTCTGAACGCATAATGGAACATTTGAAATTATCTACAAGCTCTGAATGGCTCTCCTGATCAGTAGGCGTAGGTAGGTTGTTTGTAATTGTATTTAAAATGATGTTAAAACCTCCACATTGTTATTTGGCAAGTTTCAAGTACAGTGGGGCCTTGACTTACGAGTTTAATTCGTTCCGAGACCGAGCTCGTTAAGGAGCTCGTTAACTCAAATTACTCTATCAACTCAATGCAAAAAATCGGCCGAGAGACCACTGGTATCTCAAAAAACTCATTAGTCGGGACACTCTTAAGTCAAGGCCCCACTGTATACACAAAAGCAGAGCAAGCAGTACAATGAGCGCCAGCCTTCCCGTAAGCAAATCTTTGGCATTGTATCGTTTTACTCATGAACTTTTTAGCATATAGAAGTGATTTTGAGTGATTGGTCCTAATCAATTTAATTTTCAGATTCAGCATTATTAGAATATCTTTGTAAAATATTGATTAATTGTACAAACTTGGCAAAATTATTTGACCTCTCTGAGCTTCGGTTTCCTGTTCTGTAAAAGGTTAATAATAGGTAGTAGACACTGCAGTGGATTGTGAGGATTCAAGGTAACAGCATGGAAGTGAAGAAAATGTTAACTCACCATCATTGCCATTACCACCACTGGAATTCAGATCTTATGGGCCAATGACATGTGGGAGCTTTGGAGAGTTGAAGATAATGTGCAGGGGTTGAGAGGCTGCTGGGAAGGAAGATGGAAAATGCGGCAGGTGTGTCAGAAAAAGATGAGTGACGCAAAAGATTCATGAAGAAGGAACGCCAGCGGAAACGCCAGCAGGGGGCTGAGGGAGAGGGGGGGCTGGGGGTTGGGAAGGTGGTGGCCTCGAGTTGGTGCTCCATTTCTCTGCGACAGGATCAGAACCTGGAGAAGTGGAACATCAGTGGAGATGGAACCAGCAACCCAGGTGCATGCCCTTGACTGAAAATCAAACCTGAGACCCTTGGGTCCCAGGGCCAATGCTCTAACCACCGAGCACACTGTCCAGGACTAGAAGCAATTTTAAGCCTTGCCTGATGGGTTCCTAATTGCCAGAAATGATCAATAAAGCAAATCTATGTGATCAATGCGTGTAAATCATTCCTTGAAATGTAATTTTTGGGAACTTGATTGGGTCTCTAGCTACGTTCATTTTTTAAAAATTAATCTTTATTGTTGAGATTATTACAGATGTCCTTCATTTTTCTCCCCATAGCTCCCCTCCACCTGGTTCTCACCCCAACCCAGGCCCTCGCCACCCTATTGTCTGTGTCCATAAGTAATGCATACATGCATATAAGCTCTTTGTCTAATCTCTTCCCACATCTCCCACATCTCCCACACCTCCTTCCCTCTGAGAATCTTCAGTCTGTTCCATTTCCATGCCCCTGATTCTATTCCATTCACCAGTTTATTTTGTTCATCAGATTTTTTATTCATTTGATTTTTAGATTCACTTGTTGATAGATATGTATTTGTTGTCACTTTGTTGTTCATATATTTTTATCTTTACCTTTTTCTTCTTCCTCTTCTTAAAGAATACCCTTCAGCATTTCATATAATACTGGTTTGGTGGTGATGAACTCCTTTAGCTTTTTCTTATCTGTGAAGCTCTTTATCTGACCTTCAATTCTAAATTATAGCTTTACTGGATAGAGTAATATTGGTTGTAGATTCTTGCTATTCATCACTTTGAATATTTCTTGCCATTCCCTTCTGGCCTGCATAGTTTCTGTGGAGAAATCAGCTGACAGTCGTATGGGCACTCCCTTGTAGGTAACTAACTTTTTCTCTTGCTGCTTTTAAGATTCTCTCTTTCAAAGAGCCCATGCATCTGCCTTCAGTGCTTTTCAGGCTTGAAAATGTCTGACTCCCAGGTCTGGCTTCTTTCCGTCTAATCACATTCTTAGATTTAATCTTCTCCACCCAGTTGCTGAGCTAATCCCATCTTTCCCAGTGGAGAACCACCCTTTCCTCCTGGGAGGGACAGAGGATGCAATCTCTCCCTTTGCCCTCTAGGATGGCACTGTCTCCCCTCCAGCTTGTCTCATTTTAAATCTCAAATTAACCCAGAGAAGAGTCTTTCCATCGCTCTTCTTTCCAAGAAAAAAACAGCCATGGTTTACGTGGCCATGGGTCATTCACAGGGTTCCATTAGGAGGGCCCACCCCCACCCTGCCCAGCCCTGACCCTGCTTCTCATGGTGATTCTTACCTGAGGTCCCTCAGAGAAGCCTTGGGGTCTACAGGGCCACTCACATGCTCAATTTCCCACCCCTTGATCCCTGTGGAGCTCATGATCTGCTATGTCAACTGACATAAAACCTCACTTGAAGCATGGACACATTTCAATTATTTTCTTTGTTGATGACACCAAATGGTGTCAGCTGTGGGCCTTGGCTGTTTTAACTGTGGATACATTTGGATTAGTCTAATGTGGCCAAAGACCCCCAGCCACCATGCTCTCAGGTTTTGTTTTTTCCTATTTAACAACAGGAAACCATTACACCTTCACTGTCTCAAACTGAGGATGACAGCTGGGGGCCATCAGTCAACCTCAGTCAGTATCTGTGAAAGGAATCCATGAGCCAGGCCTCAACCTTGCCCCTCCCTAACTTTCTCTCAATCCATTAATCTGGAGAGAGGAAATAATCCCAATAAGATTAAGGGATGGAGACTGGGGTTTCTGATTGGATGTTAGCATTTGAGAAGGTGTATAAAAACCTCAGGCACCAGAGGAGAGATTCAGAGTCCTCAGGCTCTGCAGTCAGTGCGGTGGTTCTCCACCAGGTCTGAGATCTGAGCCCCAGCCAGCCGGGTCACAGCAGAAGTTTCTGAAGGATTCCTTTCTGAGCACCTTGAAGATGAGTATCCGGACTCCACCCACACTCCTGCGGCTGGCAGGAGAGAGCCTGCTGAGGGACCAGGCCTCAGTCATCACAGCTCTGGAGTACCTGCCCGCTGAGCTCTTCCCGCTGCTGTTCATTCAGGCCTACCGCAGGAGAATTCGGGAGCCCCTGAAGGCCATGGTGCACGCCTGGCCCTTCACTGTCCTCCCTCTGGGCTGCCTGTCACAGCTGTCACTGGACCAGGTCTTAAAAGCCGTGTTGGATGGGCTGGATGTTCTGCTTGCCCAGGAGGTTCGCCCCAGGAAGTCGAAACTGCGGGTGCTGGATTTAAGGAACACGGGTGCCAACTTCTGGAGAATGTGGTGTGGAGACAGCACCCGGAATTGCTCACCTGCGGGACCAGTGGCTGTGCACAGCTCCAGCCCCAACACTGAGCACCCCTTGGAGGTGTTCCTAGACCTTAACTTCAATGAAAGGGATGGGGATGAGTTTCTCAAGTTCATCATCCAATGGGCCCAGCAGAGGGAAGGGTTGGTACACCTGTGCTGCAAGACGCTGAGGATTTCTGAGGTGCCCTTCCAGCGGGTCGGGAAGGTCCTGGATGGGGTGCAGCTGGACTGCATCCAGGAGGTGGAAGTGAACTACACGTGGGACCTGCCCACCCTGGGGACGTTTGCTCTTTACCTGGGTCAGATGCGTAACCTGCAGAGACTCTCTCTCTCCCACATCCACGTGTTGACAGAGGAGGAGGATGTGGAAGAGGAGGAGGAGGAAGAGCAGGAGATGGAGGAGGAGGATGTGGAAGAGGAGGAGGGGGAGATGGAGCAGGAGGTAGAGGAGGAGGAGGACAGGGAGGAGGAGGATGAGGAGCAGGAGAGGGTGGAGGAGGAGGACCGGGAGGAGGAGGGGGAGATGGAGCAGGAGGTAGAGGAGGAGGAGGACAGGGAGGAGGAGGATGAGGAAGAGCAGGAGATGGAGGAGGAGGACCGGGAGGAGGAGGGGGAGATGGAGCAGGAGGTAGAGGAGGAGGAGGACAGGGAGGAGGAGGATGAGGAAGAGCAGGAGATGGAGGAGGAGGACCGGGAGGAGGAGGGGGAGATGGAGCAGGAGGTAGAGGAGGAGGAGGACAGGGAGGAGGAGGATGAGGAAGAGCAGGAGATGGAGGAGGAGGACCGGGAGGAGGAGGGGGAGATGGAGCAGGAGGTAGAGGAGGAGGAGGACAGGGAGGAGGAGGATGAGGAAGAGCAGGAGATGGAGGAGGAGGACCGGGAGGAGGAGGGGGAGATGGAGCAGGAGGGGGAGATGGAGCAGGAGGGAGAGGAGGAGGAGGACAGGGAGGAGGAGGATGAGGAAGAGCAGAAGATGGAGGAGGAGGACCGGGAGGAGGAGGAGATGAAGAAGGAGGTGGAAGAGGAGGAGGAGGAAGAAGAGGAGGAGGAGATGGAGGAGGAGGACCGGGAGGAGGAGGAGTTTTTTTTGGGGAGGAGGAGGAGGTGGAGGAGGAGGAGGAAGAGGAGCAGGAGTGGGAGGAGGAAGAGGATTGGGACAGAAAGCAGGAGGAGCAGCGATTCTTTTCCCAATTCCTCTCTCAGATGCTCAGGCTGCAGCACCTCCGGGACCTCAAAATGGATTCTCCCTCCTTCCTCCAAGGCCGCCTGGACCAGATGCTCAGGTGCCTGCAGACCCCCTTGGACAAACTCTCCATAACAAATTGCCAGCGGCTGACGCATTCAGACCTGACATGCCTGTTCCAGTGCCCGAACCTCAGGCAGCTGAAGTCCCTGCATCTATTTGGTCTCAGCCTCGCGGATTTTAGTCCCGAGCCCCTCCGAGCTCTGCTGGAGGCAGTGGCACCCACCCTCCAGGACCTGGGCCTGGATAACTGTGCGATGGTGGACTCCCAAGTCGAGGCCATCCTGCCTGTCCTGAGCCGCTGTCACCAGCTCAGGGACTTCACCATCCCTGAGAACAACTTTTCTGTGGCCACTGTGGAGAAGCTGCTGCGCCACACAGCCGGGCTGCGCAGTTTAGAGCTCGAGCTGTACCCCGTCCCCCTGGAGTGTTACAGGATCCAAGGGACTGTCAACCAGGAGAGACTTGCCCTGCTCCGGGCTGAGCTCATGGGGATACTGAGGGAGTTAGGACAGCCCAGGACCATCTTTCTTGGCACCAAGTACTGTCACAAATGTGGCAAAAGTAAAGTTTATGAAGTGGAGTTTTCATGACGTGGAGCCGTGCTGTGCCCCTGTAATGACCCTGCTCAGTGGGAACACTCAGCTAAAGCTTTGTTCTGGGCCCCTGGAAGCTGTAATATAGACCCTGGGTGCATTATGGAGGGGCACCCATGTTCCAGATTTATGCTCCTGTGAATGGGGAAAGGAAGGGACCAAGCCCAGGTCCACAATTACAGGAGCAAATGTTGGGGAGTTCATGGGACCTCAGGGGGCAGGGAAGAATTGACCTCCAGGCCAATTGGCTGTAGGGACCATCTGTGACTACAGTTGGAGGGCTACTGTGCAGGAGACACCCTTATGGAGCAGGACTGGCTTCAGTGGGGCTTTGGTACTCACTCAGTCTGCCCCTTGAGTGTGTCACTTATGGATGTGTAGAGTTGTAATCTGGTATGGTCTGACACTGACCACTGGTTACACTGGCTCTTGGGTCTCCAGGGAGGTGCAAAGTCAGCCACTGCCTGAGTCCATCCAGCAGGAGCTACAGAGAGATCTGCAGATTCATCCTCTTTGTATTGGGTTTGGAAGTGACCAGATGAGACCCAGCTGTGAAGCAAGGCAGGCTAGTGCTGGTGACAGTTCTTGGGCCTTTTATTGATAGGTTTGGGGCTCCCTGACCCAGCTGCAGCTTGTTTGACAGAGTTTTAGCCTGAGAAAGGACAGAGCATTCATATGCAAAAGCTGATGTGCACAGCTTGGGTGGGGTTGTAAATTGGATGAGATGGGGTCTCAGGGAATCACCAGAGAGGAGCAAACAGAAATGGCTGCCAGTCATCCCTGCGACTGCGAGGTCCCAGCACAGGAACAATGACCACTGCGAGCACCTCCGTCTGAAAGAAAGCTGCCCCCAAGTTCCTGCCCTGATGCCAGACAGTCCAGTTTCTTCCTGTATGTATCTAGGTCCCCCAGAGCCTCACCTGGACTGGGGGTCTGGTGTGGGGCTGGGACTCCTTACTCCTCCAGGTGGCCTCCAAAGAGGCGATCCCCCTCCTGATTAAAAAAGCGGCACATCCAGGTGCTGGACCAGCCTGATCTGCCCCTCCACCCCTCCCGCCAGTCTCAATGAGCTTTCTTCTTTACCTCTGTAGTGGTAGTACTTCCACTCAACCAGCTTTCCCATGGTTCTGGATAATAGTTGTTCTGTATTTTAGTTGTAATTTTGATGTGGTTGTGGGAGGCAGCAAGTACAGGCGTTTACCTATGCTGCCATCTTCTCAGCTATGTACATCTTATCAAACGAAGATGGTTAGATGATTCCCAGGTGATTTTGAAATTTTGGATCTAAAGTGGCTGTATCCATCATTCCACTCATTGGGTACCTTCTTTATTTCCTTTCTAATGCAAGTATCTAATCACTCTATATCCAGTAGTTTGCTTTCTTCCATTTCTTTCATTTGTGACATGTTTCTTTGTCCCTGCATTTTGGCTGCTCCCCTGTGTTTGTTTCTATGTATTGGGTAGTTGCTAAGTCTCCTTGAGTTGATAGAGTGGCCTTGTGTAGTAGGTGTCCTATAGGGCCCAGTGGCTCAGCCTCCCCAGTCACCTGAGGTGGCCACCCTTCGTGTACCCCTTTGTGGGCTGTGTGCACAGTTTTGTTGTAGTTGAGCCTTGATTGCTGTTGGTGTCACTGGGAAGAATTGACCTCCAGGCCAATTGGCTGTAGGGACCAGCTGTGACTACAGTTGGAGGGCTACTGTGCAGGAGACACCCTTATGGAGCAGGACTGGCTTCAGTGGGGCTTTGGTACTCACTCAGTCTGCCCCTTGAGTGTGTCACTTATGGATGTGTAGAGTTGTAATCTGGTATGGTCTGACACTGACCACTGGTTACACTGGCTCTTGGGTCTCCAGGGAGGTGCAAAGTCAGCCACTGCCTGAGTCCATCCAGCAGGAGCTACAGAGAGATCTGCAGATTCATCCTCTTTGTATTGGGTTTGGAAGTGACCAGATGAGACCCAGCTGTGAAGCAAGGCAGGCTAGTGCTGGTGACAGTTCTTGGGCCTTTTATTGATAGGTTTGGGGCTCCCTGACCCAGCTGCAGCTTGTTTGACAGAGTTTTAGCCTGAGAAAGGACAGAGCATTCATATGCAAAAGCTGATGTGCACAGCTTGGGTGGGGTTGTAAATTGGATGAGATGGGGTCTCAGGGAATCACCAGAGAGGAGCAAACAGAAATGGCTGCCAGTCATCCCTGCGACTGCGAGGTCCCAGCACAGGAACAATGACCACTGCGAGCACCTCTGTCTGAAAGAAAGCTGCCCCCAAGTTCCTGCCCTGATGCCAGACAGTCCAGTTTCTTCCTGTATGTATCTAGGTCCCCCAGAGCCTCACCTGGACTGGGGGTCTGGTGTGGGGCTGGGACTCCTTACTCCTCCAGGTGGCCTCCAAAGAGGCGATCCCCCTCCTGATTAAAAAAGCGGCACATCCAGGTGCTGGACCAGCCTGATCTGCACCTCCACACCTCCCGCCAGTCTCAATGAGCTTTCTTCTTTACCTCTGTAGTGGTAGTACTTCCACTCAACCAGCTTTCCCATGGTTCTGGATAATAGTTGTTCTGTATTTTAATTGTAATTTTGATGTGGTTGTGGGAGGCAGCAAGTACAGGCGTTTACCTATGCTGCCATCTCAGAACCCCCGGAACCGCTGCAAACCTCGGAGGGAAAGCTGCCTTCCAACTGATGCCAGACACTCCCGCTTCTCCCGTTTGGGTCCGAGTCCCCAGCGATTCGCCCGTATCTGGAGCTCAGAGTCTGAGACTCCCCCCTGACCGAAAACGACAACCGCGCTCTCAGCCACCAGCCCGCTTTGCGCGCGCACCTCCGCACCTGAGTTTTTTCCACACTGCGCCTCCTCTGAGCCTCGGTGTGCTGTTATTTTTCCTTCTAGTTGAAGAGTCTCTCCTCAGCCAGCCTTCCTGTGGTTCTGGGTGATGTCCGTTCCGTCTTTTAGTTGTATTTTTGAAGTGGTTGTTTGCGGCAGCAGTCTCCGGTGTTTACCTATGCCGCCATCTTGGTCTCCCCCCTTTATTTCCTTTCTAATGCAAGTATCTAATCCATCCAAAAAATGATATACAGGATAATTTCATTATACAGAATCTCTCTAGATCCTTGAATATTCTATATACATCAGTCAATTATTTTAATTTTTATGCATCAGAAATGGCTCTCAGTACTGACTTAGACATCCTGGCCTCCCCCCCCCCAATAACTTATCTATCCTGTGACTCATCCCAAAGGATTAAATAGCCACAGAGATACTTCTTCTCTCTCTAAAAATCAATTTAAAAATATTAACACACACACACACACACACACACACACACACACACACACAAGAAACAACAACAGAAACTATAGATGCCTTGACTGGAAGGAGTGGATACCATGGACATTTTATTGGTAATGCCAGTGAGAGCAATATGTTGGGGCCAGGAGGGCATTTGGTGTCTTCAAATCAAATCACACAAGAACAAAATTCCATTAAAGAGTTTGGATTTTATCCTCAATGGTGTGCCTCCCAACTGAAATGTGAAGTGACATAATCATATTTGAATTTTAGAAAGGTCACTCTGGATTGTATGGAAGCAGGACAGGAGGCAGGGGAAGTAAGAGGGGTGCAGAAGTTCAAGAGCTAGGACAGAGGCAATGAGGACAGAGGGAGGAGGCGGGTTTAGGAGTTAGAATCCATAGGCCACGATAGCAACTTAATGCAGTGGGTGAGGGGGAAGGAGAAGTCGAGGATGACACTCAGGATGCAGATCTGGAAAGCAGGGTGGCTGATTGTATCCCTCACAATAGCAAAGGCAGGGAGAGGCAGGTTTTGGAGGAAAGATGATGAGCTCCATTTTGGATGTACGGGGTTCAAGGTGCTTTGAGGTACCCATCTGGAGGGTGCAGGAGTCTTGGAGCGTGGGAGAAGAGATGTCATTTCTCTTAGAGACGTCCCCACCATAGAAGTGGTGGTTGAAGCCATGGGAATCAATAGGATCAGCGACAGCAGGCAGGCAGCAGAGGATGCAGGTGGACACACTGGCCGAGCCCTGCTGACGTCAGCTCTCTCTGGTTTGCAGCCTCCCTGATCTAATTAGTTTCTTTAGGAGAACCACTCCTAATGTCGGGAAAGTGGGCAGTCATCGGGCCACATGCCCACATCTCAGCTGGATCTCATGCGGATTAAAGATGCCAGACAGTCCTCTCATCTAGAGGTGAGGTCCCCCCCTTCCCCTCACTTCTTATATCTCGGTGGGCTCCATGACTGCCCGACCAACCCAGTATGTGGAAGGGACCACGTCCAGGCATTGGAAGAGTGGCAGCTTCTGATCTCTGTCTCTCCAAGGACGCGCTATTGGCTTCCATGGAAGGTCTGACTACCCTGCTGGACAGACCTGGGAGGGGCCCCCAGGCAGCAGGCAGTAGGACAGAGAACCGGCTGGGCCGGCCTCCCCGCGGTTCCACCAGGGCTACATGAGTGCAGCTGCTGCACACCCTCCAAAGCAGCCATCAACCGAGGACCCCGGTATGACCCCTATGGCCCCAGTATGACCCCTATGGCCCCAGTATGACCCCTATGGCCCCAGTATGACCCCTATGGCCCCAGGGTGACCCCTATGGCCCCAGCAGCACCACATGGAGCAAGAGAACCGCTCAGCTGAGCTCCACTAAATTGTGAGAGACAATGAAATGTTTGTTGTCTGAAGTCACAGAGTCATAGGGTTGTTTATTCAGCAGGGGAGAATTGGAACAGTTGTTTGTGCCACCTCCCGCCCCAACCCAACTTTGTAAAACACGATGTTTTTGCTTGAGTGTTCTGTTAAGCCCAAGGGACTTATACTCGGGGCTGAAGCCTGTGTCTTCATCATTAAGTCGGCGATGATATCCTGCCATGCCTTCTTCTCAGAATTATTTTAGGGCTCAAGTGAGATAGTATATGTGAGTGTACTTCATAAATTATAAAGCACTAGAAATCTCTACAAATATAGATGCATTTAAACAGAATT